CATCGGACAGAGCGTAACTGAAAGTATTATTCAGTATCTCACTCATTGCACCAAAGAGGAGAGATTGGTAATAATACCAGTGCCATCAATGGTTACGGGGTCTGGGCTAGTTTTGGACCTGGCCTGGGTGCATACGTTTGGGTTCCCCCACATTAAACTGACTTTGTGTCACACCCTGGCACCAAGAAAATACAATCACTTCTCAGCCTTTTAGCTGAGATCAAAGTGTAGTATCCGTTCTTATCAGTTTTATCTGATTCACTCTCTCTTCACATCTATCTTCCCTTCATGTTCTCACTGAAACCAAATAGTGTCTTTTCTCCTCATTCCAGACAATCAAAATGGAATATTTCATTATTTATGATGTAAACTAATGAAGAGAGGGACTAGCACAATTATAATAAGGTGCTGATGTCTTCTGATATTGGAATTTGATTATCTATCAAGGAAAAATGACAAATCACTCATTTCAAAATATGTCACCATTACATGGAAGTCATTGTTGCTTGAGATAGGTCTACAGCATATATACTCCCTTTTAAAGCCACTTGGATTCAGTTGAAAACATATTTGGCCACATCTAAATGGCCAGTTTGGAAAGAGTTAAAATCATATCTTGAAAATATTGATTTTACTCAACATTTAGAGAAATTAGTTCAGTATAAAGAAAAAAAGAAACAATAAGAAAACTAGAGAAAGAAAGAGATTAAATACTGTGTGCTATTACTGATAACAGGCATTCTGGTCTTTCAAACACATTAATGAAAACCTAGCTTTGATGAGAATTGAACCTGGTTTTTTTACCTTCAATGCAGTATAATACTTTGCATCCAAGAGATCAGGACTTTCTTTTATAGCTTATATCACATTTCCCCTTTCTTTACCCATATTAATTTGGGCTCTTGTTACAGATGAAAAACTTCATAGTTTAATTTCTGGGGTATTTTCATTATTAATTTCTGCATATGGACTATTGTTCTCATCTTTGTTGTTATTACAAGGTTTCAGGCATAAGGTGCTTGTTGATCTACAGGGAATTTCGAAATAAAACCTTTATTTAATCAATAAGGGTAGATTGTTCTCATTCTACTGCCCATGTCTTTATTTTTATCTTGGGTTGAAACAAAATAAGTGGATATTTTTGTGTTGCATTAGTACAGTTGATTTTTTTTTTTTTTTTGCATTGTTTCCTTCTCTTTATACATACATCTCTGTACCATTTTAAAGACTTGTATCTTCTCTTTTAGGTATTATTGAAATTGATTAATTTTACTTTTTTATAGGCCTTTAGAGTAAAACTGAAGAAAGATAATTTTCATGTTATCATGCTCCAAAAGTTAAAACTCAGCCATTGCATTATGTAAACCACTCATAATGTTAACACTGTTTGAGATTTGGAGTTAGCTTCAGATCATACAAAATTGGTGATTTGGATCTTCAAGATGAACTTGGTCATAGTTTCAAGTCCTCGCTTAATAATGAGGAACTGAGGGTAGCTGTCAGAGCTCATTCAGAAATAAATATTCCTCATAATATGACAACACTTGCAGTAGCCCACACAATAGACATTAGACACAAACCAAGAAAGTGAACAAAATAAAGTGGAGGTGCCATGAATTGACTGATGATCAGCAGTTTAAAAAAAGTAAATTGCAGTAATTTGCTTTAAATAAATAAGACTTGTATTTATAGTGTGCTCAAAATGTTGCTAATGAAAAATACTTTATAATAATCACTGGATTAATAAAATTGCCTCTCCTTCCAAATAAAGTCTTCGCCCCAGAGAGATCCTAGTCAGATCATTATTGCCAAGTCCTATTGTTAGAATTTGGAACTGATGCATAAAAAAAATTTCAAACATTTTGGCTGAAAATAGAAATTGGTCTTGTTTTATTTTGGAGCAGGATAATATAAAACCTCATACAACACAAAACCCTTTGCAAAGACTAATGTATTTTATTGTCCTAATAATCTGATATGCCCCGCTACCAATTACCACCTTTTGCAGGCCTTAGATGCATGCAAAAGAATAAGAAAAAAACATTAATAAGTGAGAACAATAAGAGAAGAAAATACTCATAACAACAGATGTACAGAAATGCAGACCAAGTTAAAAATACTTTGCGACAGTTTATCAATTCCCATAACTTGTTTGTATTGTGTGGGAACAAATTCGCTGCCAGATTGTTAGCAACCTTGAGTTTGAGCACAAGTTGAGGTTTTAAATTTTATGGTTCAAAATTGCCAATTTATTCCAATCTGACAGCACTGAAAATCTTATTAAGCATACTTATAACAGCTCAAGGGAAACAACTCCCTCAGAAAATTAGGAACAAGTGATGATTTAAACTGGAGATAAATTTCATTATCCTCGTCTTTGTTTTTATCCTGCCTGCTGGCCTTCGAGAGTGCTTCAGTAATTTCAAAACTATGCCCTAAGATGACATTACCAGATGATATATAAAACAGGTGCACAGCATCCTTTTGTTGAATAATAAGAGCTAGATATAATTTATTAATATACATTGTGAAACTCAACACCATTTAGGAGTTTCAGCTCAAAACTTACATTTGGCTTTTAATACCTTGTATATAAGAATTTTAAAGGCTTGCTAGTAATTGCTTCATGATCAGAATAGATGGATTCATCAACTATATGGTTTCTATTGAGAGGGTGGAAAGAAGTTCTGATCAAGACTAGATTACTGAATACAGCACACATCTAAGGAAAGTTTAAGATATTATCAGTAAAAAATGTTGCAATTAAAAAAAGGTTTGAATAATTTGTAGAATATTTCATCTGAGAATTTCAGATGACAGCAATATTATGGGGTACAAGAGACAAGGAGTAGGACTTAATTAATCCTACTCCTATATAAATAAATGTGCATGTCAGTGTGTCACACTTTTTCAACTTTACTCTGTCTTTAAATTAAGTGGTGGCAGAAGAATTATCGTTGAACATTTAAAAGGTAAGCATAAATGTTAATGTAATACTTAAATGCAGCAATCAATTTTGAGTTCTTCTGTAGTTTATTGTTTCCTATCGCATACGGCAGCAGTATGCCTCACAAAAAGAAATCTCTGCTAACAGAGAACCAGACTGCAATCAAAAGGCTGCAGCTAGGAAAAGAAAGTCCTGTGCAAATGAAAACCCAGATCAAATGGCAGCTAGGAGAGCTTCCAATGCTGAGAATATGCAAAAACCTAGGGACTCTCACTCCTGAATAAGTTAAAGGCCCAATCAAGAGCCCTCTGCAGGGGGTAGCTTAATTACCACCCAATAGGATGGCTTTTAAGATAGTAATATAATAATGGTATCAGTCCTTTATATGATCTTCCAACATATTTGTTGTTGCCTGTGGTAAAATTTGGAGAGATTTTCCACTTCCAAATTAAAACAGCAACTAAATAGAAAATTTTTATTTAACAAAAAAGTTTCAGACATCAGCAGGAATAATTCTTTATAGATTTTAGAAATTATAACAGTTTTATCAGACAATATTATTTATGAACAAATAAAAAATAAAAAAATGCTAAAAATTAACAAATATTAATTGGTAAAAGCCAAGCTCACAAGAGAGATTAGCAACTTCTGAAATCTTAGGAGAAAACCTACAATAAGACAAAGAAAGACAAACAAGAAAAACAAGAAAAACAAAAAGGAAATTCGTTTGTAGCATTTTTATTTATATATATATATGTGTGTGTGTGTGTGTGTGTGTGTGTGTGTGTGTGTGTGTGTGTATACACAAAGAAAAAATGTTGATGCGAAAAAGACAAAGAGGAAATAAAATAACCAGGCTTCCATTGTGAATCAGAATCTGAGTAAATTTGATTTCTGATAAATTTATTTAAAATAGATTTGCTCTCAGATTTTGGCATAGAAAAAAAAAGTTTAATAAGAAAAACTGTAAAATTTAATTTCTTTAAATGTCCCCAATTATTTCAATGAAAACAAACCAAATAATTTGAAACAAGAAGCTTTTGTCCCATGCATTGACTTGGGAGGAATTAATTTGTAATTCTTTGCTACAAAGAGTCATTGACAACAGAATTTTAAGGTACTTTCCCAATTTACATATTTGCACACACACATAAATAGTGTTTGTACTAATCTGTACATCCAAATTATTACATGCAGCATTGATTAAAAGATTAGAACTTATCATTTGACCGTATATAAGCAACAACAAAATTAACTCTTTTCTTATCTGTAACCCTTATATGTTAACAGAATTTGTTATGTAGATCACTATATGAGTTCTCTTGAAGATGATTGGTCAATGAAAAAGTGAATCACAGTTCAAAGTATTTTCTTTTTATAGAGAGGATTTGTTTTACTCAATTGGTCATCAGATCTTGTCATAAAAAGATCTGAAAAGATTCATAGTGTCAATCAATTATCATCATTAATAAAATAAAATCCAGGTAAAATAGTTAAACATTTTTCACCATTACAAAAAAAAAAAAAGAAGAAAAAAAAAAAAGGTAGACACCTTTTTCTTTCCTTTCTGCCATTAATTATCACTCATTTTTCTCTCCAATATGCCACCTCTTTGAAATTGACCCATGTCTTCAACTAATTTTTAGTTGATGTTATATCAGATAATTTTGTATTTGTTAACAAGACGTGAATTATTTTATCTCAAGTAAAATACTTAAACCCAAATTCAATGTTAAATAAAAATTAATTTTGGTTAAGTTTTAAATATTTGTTTTATTTACAAAAGATTCCCAAAGTCCCTTATAATTTGAAAAGAGTAAAATGATTTCTGTAGTTGTTGAATGTGTGAACCTCATTTTATTTTAGAAAGGGAAGAAAAAAAAATAACATCAGGCTCACCTTTAAATGCCAATGCAGAAAAGATAGATTTTTATTTTTAAGGGAAGTCATTTGTATTTTAAGTATCCCCAAAATAAGAGCCATCAAGCTGTTTTCCATAGTTGAAACTCCTATCAGCACTGGCTTACACTTCCCAAGCATAAATCCACATGATTTATTTACGATTTTCACCAATAATGCGGAGGATGTAGAGGAACAGATTGATTATATCCAAGTATAGGTTGATGGAAGCCACAATGTATTCCTCAGGCGAAACCTTGTGCATCATCATGTGAGTGTCATATATGATGAATAGAGAGAAGATAAGTGCCCCTCCAATTGACAGGAGGCGATCAATTGTGACAGTTGGGAAAAACAGCTGAAATGAAATGTAAGTATAAGATGAGCAAATGAGAATAAAACTGCAAGCAGAAAAAGAAAGAAAAAAAAATGTATTTTGATATGAGTAGAATATGAGGATATAATTGTTTTACTTCTAAGTCTAGTAAGAGATGTAATGAGAACAAATGCATCTTTTGGAGAATTACAAAACACAAGATGATCATATGTTAGAACAATTTTTTTAACAAAATTTGAATTAATCACATGACAAAAGAAAAATTTAATATATTAAAAATTTAATCTTATCATTATGGTAATTATGTTAATAAAGCAATTATTAATTCATCCAATTATAACATCTTCCACTTTAATTGAAATATTTTGAACAAAGCCCAAAAAAAAACATTTAAAAAATAAGGTTCTCCTTTTAAAAAGAGAATTAAATGTCAAATCCCCTATGGAAAACTAGATATTTAAAAATTTCTGTAAATGTTACCAAATAGAAAATATAGTCATTGATGCTGTTAGTTTTTTTTAAATGTACTGAGTCCCCAGGCCCCACAATTGGTGATTTGGTGGGTCCCTGGGAAATTCAATGGGTCCCCAAATAAAATTTATTAAATTGTTGTGGTAAATGGCAAGGCTACAGACTAAGTTGTTTTTTTTTTTTTACCATCATCCCAAAAAAACAATTTTAATCATGCGGAATCACTTAAATTGACAGAACCTCATTTTTTTTCTTTTTCTTTTAATTAAATAAATTCAATAGAAAAATCTGTCTATGTCTAAATTTTATCAAATGAAATATATATCTATAGCAATGCTAAAAAGTGTAAAGAAAACATTCAATATTTTAAAATATGTGGCTTTTCTTTTTTTTAAAATAAAATGAAATGTTGAACAAAATATTTTCAAAAATTCATATTTTTAAAAAAATATTTAATGAAAATTAATCTTAGATTTTGTCTGTAAATCAAAGAGAATAAGTTAAAGATTTAATATTAATCATATTTTTATAATTCCTGAATTGTTAGATGAAGTATTTTCAGAATTTTTATAGTTTTTTCCCTTTCATCTTTAGTGTTTCTGCCAAAGTTTATGTCTTTATTTTCATTCACACTGCTTACTTTATTAGATAAAGAGTTTATCTACCACAGAATGTTACAGTTTGTAATACATCTATTTATCATCTCTCAGTTGCGTCTCTGTCTTTGAGCAGAGTGCACATCAAAGGATAGAGTTGCGACTGAGGAAAATTATACTGAGAGGTGCCCAGCCCTGAGGAACAGCTGCTCGAGGCCACGCCCTCTCATTGCACTAGAGAGAGGGATCAGTGCTCACACCAAGGTCAGCGCAACCGACAGTTACAGGGGCTGCAGGCAATTTTTGTTCCTTGCCCGGGTGTATGTGCTTGGGTACCTAACTCAAAAAAGACCTTGTGTCACAACTCGTCTTAGTGGGGAGACAGAGTAAATACCTAGAATGTTACAATGAAGAGCAATAATAATAACAACAACAACAACAATTCTATTTTGTTTAGTGTTCAAATGGAAAAAGAACAAAATAATAAAGGAAAATTAACACAAATAAAATAATAAAATGCTGAGAAGGAAGCAAAAAAATTTCAGAAGAAAAATTTTGTGAAAAAAAAAAAAAAAAAAAAAAAAAAAAAAAAAGATTAACTGGATAACATGCTACTTTGTGGTTAAAATAGCAGGAGGAGAAATAAATAAAAACCAATAAAAATTTTTTTAAAAAAAATCACCTGCAGAAATCCAGCCAGAATCAGCACCCACAAAACAGCAAAAAGGCTGAAGGGATAAAAATAATAAATTTATGAGAAGTGTTTCAATATAATTCTTGATACAAGTTGTAATGAACAAGCTCAATAAAGAAACTCTTGAATATACTCATGTTGGCTGACCAACCTATAGAAAAATGAACTCTAACTTGTAAGAGCTCTGCAACAATAAAAAAGAATCGAGTATATATGAAGGAATGCTCATCCTGACATGTGTGGAAGAAAATCCTAGAAGCTATTCACAATAGATATCAATGATCTTCAGTATAGTGGCCAGGAATCAACAGAAACATAATTAAATGAGTCCAGACATATACCCAGCAAACAGGCCAAAACAGAGGAAAAAAAAAGCTCTTAGCCAAATGCCTTTACCTGAATACCTATTTCAAATGGTTGGTGCAGACTTCTGTGAAATAAAAGGATTGTGACCTGTACTGGTGGACTATTTCTCTAGATATTTATAAATAGTATGACTACTGAAAATTAATACAACTAGTATTATTGGGAGTGGGAAAAATAGATTTTAGATAGATATTTTTAGATAGATTTTATATTTTAGATAATTTTAGACAGGATATTCCAATGACACTAGTAACTGACAACAAAAATTCAAAGATTTCAGTAAAGCCTAGAATTTTGCATATGTCACCAGTAGCCCATATTTTCCCCAAGAAAATGGAGAGATGGAAAGAACAATACAAACTGCTAAGCACATTCTGCAGCAGAGCTCTATGTTTTTGGCTCTATATGCACAGATAGCCATGACAACCTCACCAACAGAAGTGAGTGAGCCTAGCCAAACTTGTTTTTGGGTATCAACTGTGGACAATGGTGTCTACACTGAAGTTCAACTTTGACCTGCAGCTGATTGATAAGAATGTAATTCACCAGTGCAACACCTGAGCAAAGAATGGCTACAAGAAATATTTTGACAGATGTCATGGAGACTTGGTGATATTGTGCTTCAGAAGTTGGGTCACAAACATTGATGGTCAAAACCGGTGACAGTACCAAGCCAGGATTCACCTCACTCCTTTTTGGTGCAGACCTCAGATGGTGTATCATTCAGGTGAAGCTAGAAACACCTTTGTCTGTCTTGTGGTGCATCCAATCTTCAGAGTGGTCTCAGTGAGTCAGCAGACCCTGCTTGCTTCCATCCTTCAAACATTTTAACTACTGATCAACTAAATATTTCCAAGGCTCCTGTCAGCTAAAGTACCTCTCACTTCCAATGTATTCTCAGATTGAACAAGTCACTCCAACAACAGAAACTACCAGGATAACCCACAGTGGATAAATATCTATACTCCTATTCAGTACCCTAAGAACTAAAAGAGGGAAATGTAAAGAGTTCAGCCCATGCAATGCCTACACCCCTATTAGTAATAATAGTGCTGGCTAAACACTATAAGAACAAATAGAAAATTTGTATTTAAAAGAAGAAAAAAAAGGAAAGTCCCATTGTAAATTTTTGGCTTGCCAATAAACTGTATTCAGTGTTGCTCTACCTCAAGCTTCAAGCTTGTTGAGCCTGTTTGTTACTTAAGTAAAAGAAACAAACCTAGTTAATTAATTTTAAACAACAGAACTACTGAAGATGTATAGAAATATTGATGATAAGATAAAGCATTGAGGCGGATAAAGAAAACAGCAACCAGCGAGTAAATTCAAGCTCTCCCAGCTGGTATTTCAACCTCGAGTCGTTCCTTCTTGAGTTCTGTCTCAAAGTCACACTAACAGACTGTTCTTACCACCAACCGTGAACATCACTTGAAGAACTGCCCCACTGGGAAAAAAAATGTAGTTGCTTTTATATTTGTCCATATACCCATAATCCCTTGCGTCTTCATATGATCCCATAATTCATTGCATCCATGTCCCATAATGCATTGCATCTTTATTGCATAAAAATGCAATGCAAGTCCCCCCCCTCATTCTTTTACGTTATCTGGCCGAGGACGGATTACGGTAGAGCGGTAAGTGCTTTTTTCTCCCTCATTTCAACTGCAGTAGCTTTACATGCTAAGCAAATACGGGCTCTTTTTTGGCAGGGACAAGGCAAGTCGCGACCAGTTGTGCTCGTCCCAGGTTCTGTCTCATGTCCGCCACAAGAAACAAACCTAGTTAATTAATTTTAAACAGCAGAACTACTGAAGATGTATAGAAATATTGATGATAAGATAAAGCATTGAGAATTATCAAATGAGACTTGAGATCACCTTTATGATTAGTAGCAGCCACATGTCAGTGCAAACAGAAGTACAAATATCAAGTACAAGTGTGATCAGTTATTAACAACAGTAACATTGTGACTAAGTAGTGAGAACTTAATGAACCCAGCAATTCAGTGTATCTAAGTTTAGTGAGAGACCACAAATTATAAGTATCTGCTACAACCTGACATAAATTAATAAAAGATTTTGTATCAAACAAAACATATTTGGAACATGCAGTAAGATTCAACAATCTGGCTTTAAAAATTATAAAAGTATTATAATGCTGGAAGCAATATAATTATTGTGGTAATGACAGAATACATAACTAATTGAAATTGATAAAATAGATTAAGGTCTGTATTATCAACCTGTCATAATCCCCAAATGTACTTTTGACTGCAAGTGACAAGACATTTCTACTAGAAGCACAAAAACAAAAAGGTTATTGATAAACCATCTTTTCCAATTATCTTCATAGACTAATTGAAACACATTTGTGCTACTCATCTTCAGTGATAGATTGTTTTTTTTTTTTTAATAATATAAATGTAGATTTTACAAGTATCCAAATACACCAAAGAAGGTTAAGCAATTGTGTTACATTAAGCTTGGGGAAGGATCACTTGCCTTGAAAAATCATTATCGGTAAACCACTTCTGCTGTCAATACTAAATATTTAAGCATCTCAGCTACCAAGATGCAAACACTGGACTTGTAGCTTTCATTATTTAGCTTCAAAAAAAATATTTGAATGATTGTCGAATAAAATTTTACAGATCCCTAAAAATCTGTCTCTTTTCATAATCAATCCAGCTTAGCCATATCTGGCACAGGGCAACAATGATCTTGAAGGCTATCTCACTTACCGCTGCCCTACATTGGGCCCATTTAATTACACTACTCTATAACGTTTTCAAGGAAAAGAATCAAGTATATGATAAATGCACTATGAAGGAAAGTTTTTTTTTTTTTTTACATCTGGCAGATGTTTGTTACACTTACCTTGGTCCCCAACTACTGAAATCTCTTTTGCTCTGAAATGTGTAAGCAGTGAGGCCAAGGGTTACAGCACAAGTCAAAGCAAAGGCTTCCATAACTGCTGCCTTATCATAAAAAGTCACTAGAAGTAAAGAAAAAAAGAAGAAAAATATTTAGCAAGCATGCAAAGAACAAACACACTCAAAAGTGTTAGAAAGTGACAAAATTTAAATGCCAAGGAAATTATAAATCATGGAGATGTGTTCCTATACAGAATTTCTATGTTTAAGAATTAATTTTTTTTAATTTATTATTTGAACTTTTGCATCTTTTCACCTTTATTATTAATACCATAAGAAATGCTGATAAGACTTACTTTCTTTATAATTTTTGAAGTCAGAGGTTCATTTAACCCTGATGTAATAAAGTCCAAATATTTTACTTAAATTAGGATAATGTATATTTTTTTATATATGCCTAGAGCATACAACTTGGCATCAAAACATTTGTTTCTTATAAGAGTGCCAATGAGTTTTCTTACCTATTACACCAACTGTGTAAGCCTCCATTGCTGTCTGGATAGAAAGAAAAGTAGCTTTTAGTTAATGTGCTTTATGACAGCAAATAATGCTCAACTGAATGTATTTAAACTGCGACTGCAACAATTCTTACAAAAAAATAAAAATAAAAAAAAATATCATAGGCTTTAGTAAGAGTTCAATAAATCTAATAGAAATAATGACACTGGGAATTTTTAATTTTGAGGTTTTATTAACAAAATCACTTCTGGATAATTGAGAGAGACAAGTCAAACAAGTTTGGATTGCAATTTGGGGCTTTACTTAAACTTTTTTTTTTATAAGAAATGACAGTGGAAGAGAAATTAAATCAAAAGTAAAAATATTTCTACATGTCTTTTGTTTGGGCAGATTGAATATCATAAAAGACTTAAGAAAAGCATGTCAACAGTATTATACACTGATTTACTGGGACTGGTGTCTTTATCTTGGTTGTTACTATGATAATATTTCAGCTATTCTGCCTTTAAATTTAGTAATTTTGACAACTAAAGCCTTTGGGATCAAACAGAATTCTTTATTTCTAATACTTCTTCCATTGTCTTTCACTGACTTTCTTTGATGCGGTATTGTTGGCAACTAAAGAGGTTTTAATATCTTTTAAATTCTGAGACAAAGAAAATATTTAATCTCAAAAAAGCCTACAATATTATTTCTATCTCATATTCTTCCAATTAATTACTAGCTTCTACTAACAAGCCTATCACATTATATATGAGAGGGTACCTTTTGTAGGTTGGGCCAAAACCTGTTCAGTACCCCCTAAACAAAAAAGTAACTAAAATAAAGTTTTCAAAAAATTTGATGTTTGGTAATTTAATTTTTGAAGTTGGTTGAGTAAACATCTTTTCAGCAGACCCTGATCTCACAGAAACAGAAACTGATGCCTAAAAATAGTAAACTCCCACTAACAGTAAGTAAATGTACTTTTTCATTTATAAAGGGATAGGGATTAAGGCCTTTGAGTTCCTTTCTGAAATGGAAATGTAGGAATTATTAAAATGTATATCCAATTCCAGACATGTGTAGTCAGACAATAGAATTTTTGATTCAAAATATTCTTGTGGCTACACTGGTCATTAGTAATGTAACAGAAAATGTAAAACTTCTACCCTTGCAAGTGTAACTTCAGTAATCCTTCTATCACTCAACCAATACACGGGTGGTGGTGATAATAGGAGATTTAAAAAACCAAAAATATATAATTTAAAGACATTACAAAAAGTAACTCACTGAACAAGATTTGAACTTTGGACTCCATGACTGATAAAAACAAAGGTAAATAAATAATAAAAGCTTGGGTTTTATATATTTTATAAAATATAAGTTTATTCTATCCCCACTTACAAGTAATCCAGATCATTAGAACTACAATGAAAATTTAGATAGGAAAAAAGATTCTCTAGAGAACACTATTCTCTAGAATTATTAATTTCATATAAATTGTCAATCAGTTTATCTGATGAAATAGTTAACCACAATGTTGTAGAATATGAGAAAAATATTCAAACTGAACTCTTATTGTAATGTTTTAATCAATTATCAATCTATGTTTTATCAGGTAATAAAATAAATTAACATAAACAGTAAAGAAATGTCATTTTTGTTTCACAAAATCATAACACTTTCAAGTTTTACAATCTGATATATTAAGATTAGGAGTGGGTGGGAAACTGCTTGTCAAGTACTTTTTTTTAAAGTACCTATTAAACTAATTCAGTTATGCAGAATGCTTGATTAAAATCAGCACAGAAAACAGCACGTTAAAATGAAACTTATTTGGATTCAAGTAAATGTGTTTTAAATCAATGTTTATACAAAACTTTCAAATATTTAATTTTTCAATTCAACATTTTATAATCTTAACATATTATTTCATTAAAGATTTTGTGGAATGTTTCATTTTTGTTCCAGAATCACTTACACAAATACATATGAATTATATTTCAGAATTCTTAAAAATAAACCTGAAAGTATTTCAACTGAATTTGTGAATTTTAAGAAGGAATGAAAGCTTAAACTCAAAAGATATTTGAAAAACAATGTTGCCGACTTACAAAGGCCATTAGCAGAATATAGTTTATTGGGGTTTCTCTTTGCTTGAACATCAGGGCCAACATGATACCAATTGTGCCAAACATAGCAACCATCAACATCCAGCTACTACAAAAATATAAAATTACATGTTTAAAAAACAAAGAAAAAATTTCTATTTAAATATAAACAAAAACATAGAATATTCTTTCACAAGATTTGTTAAAATTCCTTGGTTAGTCACTTAGAATTTCACATGGTTTGCTAAGGATACTTAAAAAAGAAAAATTATGTTTTCTCAATAAGAGGAGAAACTTGGAGCTCTATGCACATATTTGACCAAATCAACATTGGATTAGAAAATGAGCTGCTTTTTAAGAGAACAAAATTGATATTTACAAAGTTAAGCTTAATGTTACGGCTAAATTTTCAGATGAGGAATTTTTATTATTATTATACACCAATATACTCAAACTAGTGACTTCATCATGTTTGTTACAATGTTTGTGTTACTTTTGGACTACTTTAAGTGTCTGTATAACAGGGTGTTGGCTCTGGTTAGACGTTTAGCTGCATGAGAATGTAAAAGGGTAGTTAGAAATAAATCATGAAAACTCTCTGACTTAAATAATTAGGAGGAAAATGAGAATTAAAATTACATCAAATATATAAAATGGAAATTGATGTGGGAATCAGAGAGAGTTGAACCCTGAATGAATTTGGTAAAATGTCAGTAACTTTGGAATTTCTCTTTTCTACTTGACAATGGGAATTTAAATGAAGGTAGAAATTTTTACATACATCAATATCAAAATGGGAAATGGGTAGCATTTGGTTTTAGGAGTCACGGGAAAGATCTCAGAACAAGATGCTAAGAAAATCTCTGTCACTCAAAGACAAGAGCACATGTATTCTATGAATGGAACAAATTCAAAGGAAACAGGATTGTTGCAGATTTTCTGCGAGACACGAGAACAAATCGCTACTACAATTATCACATGAGGGGAGAAGTGAAAAACAAAACAAAGAGACTCAAAAATACATCAAATCATCATTTTGCTTAGCGAAATAAAGGGTTCAGTTTGACATCCTAACCACCTGAAGAAGGCCAGAGCGTACATTGGCCGAAACGTTGTGATAAATATGGCGACAAAGATGAGGACAATAGTCTGAATAATGTAAATAGTGTACATAATACCTCATCCCTGAAATATAGACAGACAATAAATTATTGTTAGATTTTCTATTGCATTGAAGTGATCTTCTGCCTAGCTTTGACATTGAGAAACATGTTGGAGGGAGTTAATAACTTCTCCATCAGGGACACAACAAAATGGATTCATTTTAGTGTGTTTGAAACAGATTGGAACAGCTGATAACGATACACAGACATATTTGGTTTGCCAGGCATATGAAAATGACCATGTACAAATCCCCCTCTATTCACACCTGACAATCAGAAAGTGTTTGGTCTGGTTGATTTGATTTTGTGACCAGGCTTCAGGTTGGCTTATGATGCTGTTGTATATATCTGTTGTAGCTGATAGCTTTCTGAGAATTTTGAATCACCTCCCCCCCAAAAAAAAAACACTGATATAAGAACTTTTAGCATAGACAGCAAAAAGAGAACAATCCACACCCTGTAGATTGAATAAAGAGTTCAGTTTTAAATTTTCAGACTCAATGACAACAGACACCAAAGAAATTTGGAGGGTACAATGACAAAGATGTTGTCATTAAACAATCAAGAGGAGGAAACTTGGTCTAAGTAAACCAGTGTATAACTAAGTTTACACAAGACCACAGTGTAAGGTACCCAGTGAGTATTGAACTTACTATTTTAGTGTTGATCTTCAAGTTTACCAACTCAAGATAAAGTAGATGCCTCACTGAAGGTATTTTACACAATCTCACAGGTAACTTCAAGTTAATATTTTATTGATAACTGTTTAAAAAAATGACAGTTTTTGATAGTTAAGGATATTGTTACATCATTGTGGTATGTTATAACATAAGATTCCTTAAAAGTTGAATGCTTTTCAGTTGTCACTCTGTAACAGACAATAACAAACCAAAAGTAGTTAACCAACATAAAAGATATGACAGTTAAATATATAAGCAGACAAACCTACTCACTGCATTGTGCATAACATTCTATGTTTTAGATGTATTGCTTGCATTGTTAGTAGTAATTGTCTTAGATCAACAACATTTGTTTTTGACAAGCCAATTAATTATAATCCTATTTTAATGTTATCAAATATCTTGTTTCTATGAAGAAAATTGAAAGTACTGACTCAATTTAGAGCAATTTTGGATTTTTGCTCTTTTTTTCTGAAGAGAAGACTGTGATAAAGAAAAAACAGAAAAGAACATTTAGGAATTCTTTTTGTATTAAATCTGAATATATGTTAATTAAATTTCCATATATAAAAAAGTAATTTCAAGTTTTTATATATGTATACTTTAGATATTTAAATCACAAGTTGTTATACATGTGGAAAAAATTGGAATGAACAGTTTTCAGCCTTGACTGGAAATCACTTGTAAATATATTTGCATCCAATTAATACCGGAACAAAATATCTTTGGTTACTTGAACTATCACACTTGTCTGCCATTATGTTTCAATCTTAATGACTTGATTTACCAAATCAATCATGCCATGGTTCTCAGCAAAGAAAAGTAAAAGACAACATTACAGGAGCAGTGAAAGTAGTCTTCATTCAACTATCCAACACCCATGCATATAAAATTTGGATTTTTAGTAAGTTAACCATTGTTATGAACATCTGGTCAATCATATACAACACAGATTTGCAAGAAGGTTGATATGCAACCAGATACTCATACACACACTAATCCAAAAGGTGTACATACTTCTGCTGGACAAACAATTTGGTTGGTTCATGAAGGATGAAAAATGCAGCAGTCAGTGTGGTGATCAAAAGTTGAGTTGATAGAATGCCATACACCTTGCGCAGAAAACCTAAAATGATAGAGAAATACAAAATATTACATTGTATGGTTTTTGAGAAGTGGGCAAGAATATCCTAACAAAAAGAAGTCAACCAACTAACAGAGGTTGGGAGGGAAGCATATAATACAAGTTCACATCTAACATCACAAGTTATCTTACTACCCACAGAGCCATTACTGGTTATATTAACAGAAAGAAGAAAAAAAATCTCAAAAACAAAATTGTGAAAAGATTATAAATAGCCTACAACTAGTATTTAGCTACAGATAAGTTCATGTTGTTTTTCTGTAACAAGAGCATTACAACATAAAACAATTAAATTCATAACTGAATAAAAATTACCAATACAGAAGAAGAGTAGAAATATTTTCCACAAGGAAAAATGTGTTTCATGATTTTTCTATTCCCCAATACATTACTACAACTGAATCCTTTTGACAATATAACTAATGATCATTTTGAAGATTATGGCATAACTGTAACCAGTGGAGACTATAACCTCTGCACAATGAAAAAAAAATAATGATCAATAAAATCCCTCTTCATGCTTTATTTTACTACATATTTTTTTTATTGTTTCAACATATTTGATACATGTATTAAAAATATTTATGTAGAGATCAATAACGTGTCCTTTTTTTCTATTTATTTTTACATGACAAGATTTGTCCCAGGAAATTCTTGGATTTTTATTTTCCAAAGTGAAGCACATGTTAACCAATCAAAAGTTTTCAAGAAATTTCTTTGGTTTTTACAGCAAAATTGTCTATATTATGTCACCACTGAGATGAACAAATTTAGGGTAATTGGTGAAATCAAGAATTATTTCTGCAAACTACTTCATTCCAACACATTCAAGTCATTATTTGTTATTCACAAAACAATGTATGGCTTATACCATTTTATCAGTTATCAGCCTACAGATACATTATGTCACCAGTATGGATTGGTTAAATATGACCACTGCCAAATATTAAGGAATTAGAGCACTTAGAGAATACTCACATTTTTTAAAAATTTAGCAGTAGATAAAGTAATAAAATAAAATGTAAAACATCCTGGCTTCATAAAACATACCTTAACCAAGCTAAGTTAATTACTTTAATGTTATAATTTTTTCCGAGCCATGTAGAGGAAAATATTATGGAATAATACAATATTGAAGAAAAAAGTATGCATTCATTAACAGATGCCCTTACTTGAGCTTTTAAGACAATCTTAATACTTTCAGGTATGGATTTTACTAATTTAAAGCACTATTCTTTAGTTAAGTGGTTCCAACTTTCCTAAATGTTGGTTAAACATATTTGGTGGACAGAGCCTTTTCATGAACTATTCTTTAAAATTTGTACCATACATTTTTAATTGGATTTAGAAATGGACTGTTCACTGGTCATGCTATTGATTACATATGCCTTTGAAAAGCTTTAATCCCCTTTGCTCTGGGACAAGATGTATTATCATCCTGAAAAATAACTTCAACAATTTTCTATTGATGGAATGAGAAAATTATCCAGGATTTTAATGCCCACATGTGCATTGGTTGTCGAGGTAATGACTGCCATACTATTCTATATCATAAATGACTTGAGGAAATTTGTTTCATCAAGCAATCATCTTTATACATTTCATTTGAGACAAAAATTCCAGTATGACTATCTTGGCCAATGTAGATTCTTGATTCATCACTTAAAATCACTTTCATCCAATCACTCACACACCATGATTGTTTCTCTTCATCTCATTTCACTTTCTTCTGTTTGTGTCTTAACATGTTTTTGTTTAGCTCTTCTCTATATAAATCCTATTTCATTCAGTCAATTTCATATAGTTCTCTCACAAACATTCACTCCATTTGTTTTCTATTTTGACTTTTCTATCTTAATGCTTTGATGTCTTTTGGGCTAAGTTTTCCTTTTTTCACTATCCTATTTTTTTAATAATTGCACCAAATTTTAGATCCAGATGACTGGGAACAACCATACTTCACTGTAGTTTGTCTTCTTGAATGAATTTTAGGATCCTTTCTATTGTTTTTGTTGGAGCCATATTTCCTTTTAATTACATATGCCCAAAGGCTGGTATTTATTTTAGGAATGTAAATTACAAGATCATTCCATCATCTTTGTCTAAACATTGGATTATTCTATATTTTTTATTTATATGACTTGGAAAAAATTATACCAATAATTTAAATAATTTAATCTAGTTTGTTTAAAGGTATATTTTATGTAACCAGCATGTTCAGCTATCAAATAAAAATGTAAACTTTATTTACTGCTAAATAAAAAAAAAAAATGAAGGGAACATCCTCTCAGTGTATTAATTCCATGATCTTGGTTACCAGCATTTTCAAAATAATACATGTAAATTAATGCCTTGATACTGTCAGTAACACTGCATTAATTCTTGATTACTGAAAATTCCTTTTCTTCTGAATTTGCAATGTGCAAATGTATCAAAATATAATTTAGGTAAAAAATAGCAAAATTCAATGTTTCCTCATTAATTGTTACATAACAATGCTTAATAGAAGCCATTTGATTGCACTTTCTGTTTGACTTTATATACCTTGCCTATACAAATAAGTAAACCAGGAATTTTCTCATTTAAAGTCAGTTGGAATGGAAATAAAATTACATACATTAAATACTGTAGACAAAACGACTGCTTTGAAAACTAGGATTACATAAGCATAAAAAACAAAATATTTTATTAGGGGGTAGATTGCAACGAGAATATGTTGGTTCAAGAAATATCTGGACTAGTATTCTGATCTTTATTGTTTCAATTACTATGGCTTGGACCTTCCTTGGGTGCATGACTGATAATTTACAAAAAGCTCTGAACAGCTGATTGGCATCATACATTTTTCTATCACATTTGAAAAATTGCAGATTTACTGCATGGATCTGTAATCAATATTGATTGAAATGATATTAAAAGTGAGCAAAAATAAATAAAAAAGCAATAATTTGTGGGTTGGATAAGGGATTCTACTTCTATTCTATGAATGATGAGATGCAGCACACAACAAAAGAAAAACAGAAAGAAGCCAACATAATAGTTTAATGATCAAGTAGCAAGATTTTTTTTGTTTCTTCGTCATAACAGTGCCGAGTTCATATTAAACAAAACACAAACGCTTTCATACAGTTTTTGAAAGCGGGAAAAAAGGACTCAAAAAAAATGTAATTTTAAAGATTTTTATTATGTTTTCAAATAATTTTATGTTTTTTTTATTTTACAACTGTCTTATTTTTTTTATTCTATGGATGATAAAAAAAAATGAAATTCTGAATAATGTTCTTTGACATAAATTGAAATAACGGCCCAGTAAATTTGCTTTTTAAGTCCCGTGCTAAATATCTATTAAAATTTTCCCAAATCATCATATTTCCATGTAAATGTACATGCTGAACTCGAAATAACAATTAAATTTTGATAAAACCTACCATTTTGGAGTTATCAACAATAAAAGTTCAAACTCAGTCGCGTTCAGCCGTGGCCATTACTGGCCTTGTTTAACTACATTCAGTGCAGAACATTTTGCACGCGGAAGCTTAATTAAAGGCCTTTTTACTGCTCTTAACTGATCTTACTCGTCTAAAATTACTGCGTATTTAAGTTATGTCGTAAAGCGATGAAAAGTGTTTTTTTTAACTGTTGTTTGCTTATAGTAAATCTTTCTTTTTAAATAAAAAAAACAAATTAAATAATAAAATAAAGCTTTCCTTTTAAATTAAAAATAAAACAAATAATAATTAAAGCGCAAAATTTGCACGCACTTTGAAAAGAGCATGATTATTTACAAAATAAAAAGAAATGCTCCTTCCTAGCATTTTTTTTATTTTGTAAATAAAAAATCATGCTCTTTACAAAGTTTGCGCATTAATTATTATTTTAGGTACCTCCAAGAGATCGCTAAAAAAGAGCATAGCATGATGAAAAAGATGCTAAACTTGACAAAAACAAAATTTTATCATCTAAATGTTTATGTTGTTATTAAGAGGAAAGATCAAAGTATTCTGGGGTATTTTTTTTTTTTACATTTTTTAATTGTTCCTAGCATGTCCAAAATTTTTTGTTAAAAATCTTGTTTTTTTTGAGTCAACAAAATTGATAGATAATCAATTATAGCCATTTTTTCACATTTTATAAAAAAAAAAATAAAAAAAAATGAAAATCTCAGTTTTAAGAAAATCAAAAATTATAATGTTTATTTAAAATATTTTGAAACCAGAATTATTTAGTTTCTCTGCCGAAAAGGTGTAGTTTGAAAATCAAACAAAGCAGGTCATAACATTTTGTGTCACTTGACAGGTGATGAATGACGTATTGACTGATTACGCGAGGATAATTTGTTCTACGGAAGGAGAGAAGTGAAATTATTTAGATTTAAGTGAACAAATTATTTACCTCGTTATTTTTAAGGAAAACTTTCAGTGCTCTAATTTTTTTTTGTACTTAGCTTTCACCTTTATGTTTAGGATGCTTTATAGAAAATATATTATAAAGAAATTAAAATAAGACTTAAGAGTGAGGTTAAATTTCATAAAAAAAGATATCTAATTAATTTATAGGTAACTTTCTTCTGAAATTTTATCAGAAGTGTACATAAAATACTATGATTTTATGTACATTTATTAAATTTTACCGTGTTATTTGTATTTGCAATTCATTTTATTATTAATTTTGATATTTCATTTATGGAAAAATGTCATAACTGAGATTAATATAAAAATAAGATCATATAAATTTCATAAGATGATACTGATACTTGTAGGTACACTTCTCAGTTGAAATTGAAAAATCAAATTAACTTCTCCACACATTTCGCAAAAGTAAAGGCCTTAGCAACGGAGAACAATGCTTAACTCAAATAACACAACTTAATTGTATTCTGGTTGGTCTTCCGTACTTTATAATTACAGCCCAATTATAAACACAAAATTACATTTCTTAATTACTGTGGGTCTTCTGATTAGTAAGGTTAGGGGTTGTGCTTCTTTCTGTGTAGAAAAGAGAACAAATTAAAAAATAAAATTAAATAATACAACCAAGTTTGTGCATTAATTTTTGTTTTTTTTCAATTTTAAAATATAAAAAATGCTTTATTTTTATTATTTAATTTGTCATTGCTATTCTACACAGAAAAAAAGTTATTGTATTATTTAATTTGTTTTTGTTATAAATAAAACTACACTTACCAAAAAAAAATTACATTTCTTTAACGGTAGTGCATAGTGATTTTCTGCAAGGAAAGTCTGTAAAAGAAGTAAATAGGCCAAATTTTCTGATTACGCTAGCGGAAGTAATACGCAGTGAATCAATAATCATGATGGCAGTAATGGGGGACGAATGACAAACAAGAAGTTACGATTTTTTCTTGTCAATAACTGCAAAACGATAGGTTTCTTCATAATTGTTAATTCAAGTTCAACATATGCATTAGTACACGGAATTATGACGATTTGGGAAAATTTTTTTTTAAGAGATATTTAGCGCGGGTGTTAAAAAGCAAGTTTACCGATATTGTTATTAAAACTATAATTTACAAATCATAAATGGAAAGCTTACTAAAATTCAGTAAACCCCCAAAATTTAAAAAATAATTTTGAATTTTTTTTGTGTATATATGTGCTGATTTTGTTTTTTTGTTTTTTGTAACGGACATTCATACACGACATTATCAAAAAATAAGTGGTAACTAAATTCAAGAAATATCAGATTACTTAATATTTTCTTAAATTTAAAAATTTTAAAGTAGTTAAAAATATAAAAAAAGGTGTCACGTTGTATTCATCAAGTAATGTTTACTACAGTTATGTACCCTTTTACTTAAACAAACGTTCAATCAACACAAAAAAAAACACTTACCGTGTTAAAAAAAACAAAACAAACAAAAACAAAAAAACGATTTAAACTAAAAAAAAACAAACAAACAAAACAACCAATATTTGTTTTTTTAACCCAGAAACTTTAAATCAGATAATCTTACTCAAAGTTTCAGAAAATTTTTTATTTTATTTTTGAAAATTTTTTTTTTAATAACGAGAATGATATCATTGACAAATTTGTCAGTGTGATCGATATTAGTGATAAAAAAATATATCCTCTAGTCAATTTGAATTCGGTTTGAAATAACAGCAAATTATTTTGCTTGTTGGAAATATTAGCTTCGAATTTAATTCGAAGCTAATATTTCTAAAAAGCTTCAAAAAATATTTTTCATTTTAAAATACATTTTTTAAACCTTAGGTATCGACTTTTTGTGGGAGGTACCGAAAGTTATTGCCCCAAAACAAGGCAGATCAAACTAAAACAGTTTTAGTAACTTAAGTTACTAACTGTTAGTTTGATCTGCCCTGTTAGAAAATGTATTTTTCTATATAGTTAAGTTACTTAACTATATAGAAAGATACATTTTTTAAACTGCATCTTACTTAACGAGTCCATTTTTTTTAAATTAATTTTTTTTAGCAACAAACGATTTCAGATGAAACTGCTAAATCGTCGTAACCCACACACAAAACTTGCGGTAATTTTTAATAAACGCATGATAAAAGTAAATGGGTTTTCGAATCGTTTTCTCCTTGTTTTTGTTTTATTTCAGTGGGTGTGAAAAGAAAAAATTAATGCATATTCCGAATCCGCAATAAAAATAATAATGCGTATCATTTTTTTAATAATAATAAAAAAAGAAAAAAAAACATTACGTTCAAAACACTAACAAACAAACAGTTGAGTTCATGACAATTTCAGCTAAAATATCATTTGGAGGAGGAGGATGGCAAAAAAGAGGATCAGAGAAAAAAATAATCCTTTTCCTATTTGTTAAAAAAATGGAAAACTTGTATCGAACGCCAAATTTTCTATCGAAACAAAAAGGTCACCGAGTAAAATTGAATCAAAACTGTTTTTCTAACTTGGTGTTCCGCCATCAATCCAATAAAAACGGGTGTTTTTTTTAACATATTTCATCATTTTTTATTCAATTAAAAATTAAAGTTTTAACAAAAAAATTATTCTAAAAAAAAAAAAAAAAAGTCAATTTGAGCCATTCTTTAAATAACCGAAATCAATTTCAATAAATTCAATCGCCGGTATTCTTTTGAATTCTTACAACATGCGTTTCTGACAACAAAATTATTTACTCAGTTTTTCGTATCTTTCGGCTTAGTCTGCTTTCAATATCATTTACTTCACTCATCGTACGTAGCAGATTAACTTCTGCTACTATTTCTCACACAGGTACGTTAGTACACAAAGTAAAATGATTGACACAAACTATTACACTAGTAGACACTGGCTATGTAACCAATTGTATAAACTTTTCACACTTTCTTAAGTGTTGTACAATAATATACCATAAAGTAAAGAACATTACTGAAATGGAGTTTAAACAAAATGCCATATGATGAAATAAATTTAGCTTCTGCTTTTTACGCACAATTAAGTACGTAAATCGATTATTTTAAAACATTAATTTTTACATTTATATTTTAGTTCATTATCTTGGGGTGTGAGTGAAAATAAAAGCCAGATGGCCGAGAGAAAGATAAAACTGCAGAATATATCTATTCATTTCATGCTAACAAGAGCGGCCAGTTTATATATTATATATATATATATATATATATATATATATATATATAGAGAGAGAGAGAGAAAGGAACTAATAAAAAGATTCTTTAAAAATAAAATGAAACTTCTATTTTTTTTTATTACTCACCCATCCGAATATAAATGTGTGCTGTGGCCACATTTGATCCGTACATAAAATCATCAACAATCGATCCTTTGCCATGATCAGTGGAAGGACTTGATTTGAATGGATTTCCTACTGTCGTCATTTTAACTAAGGTTTGTAGGTAACTAATTTTAAAAAAACAACAATTAAGAACTTAAGTTTTTGGATGTTCACCTCCAATAAACAAACTGACTGAAAATAAGACACAACAATTTTTCCTCCTTTAGCCCAAAACACGACAGAGTTCACTTATTCAAGGGAAATCACTCAAAACATGTTTTTTCAGAATTTCATTTCGTGTATTAATTTCTTTTCAATTAAAAAAATGAGTTTTTTAATTCTTTTTATTAGGTTAAGTAAGAGGTTACTTGAGTAAATTTTTATTAAAGAAAATTTTTCTTTGGAAATGTTTCTTTTCCTTCAACCCATGTCTTTAATTATTTTGCTTTTTCCATTTATTTTAGTTTTATCAAAATTAATTAGCCGAATGAAAGCTTCTCTTTCGCTTGAACTGGATGGTTCGGAAATATACAAAAATTTAATAACCAAAGGAAAATGATGTATTTCTTGAGCATGCAAGAGAAATTAATGACATTGTTATACTTTTTTTTTTTTCGTGATTTTATCTTCATCTTTTTAATTTTTAACCTAATTTTAAGTTTTTAGGTTGATACACTCTTCTGAAGAAGTGTAAATACAAAAATAAATAAATGTTGCATTCATAACATGGAGGAAATTGAAAATATTTCTTTTCAAAGATAATATATGAGAAAAGCAGGAATTAATGTTGACTGATCTTAAGTTAGTGAAAATAAGAAAAAATTCCACGATTTAAATATTTCAATTTCATAGGAGTAAAAAAAATCATCGACCTACATCGATAAGGTTCGTTAAAAGTTTGACAATAATGGCTTCTTAAAAAACACTAAACAGCCAAATTTTTGTTTTTATAAGATATAAAAGTTAATTCTATGAAAAGTAATTTAAAAAAATTAATTCACAATGAAATTTGTTTATTAAAGAAAGACATACATGAACATTTAAAAAGAAATTAACAACAGGTGTGATTTTATTTTAGTATACAAATTCCAGGTTTAAACTTTGTAATTTTTACATTAAATTATCTGAATTTTACATGAAAAAATTACGTATATCAAGCTCAAGCATCCGTTTACTTTAAAATAATAAGAAAAACATTTAAATTTCCACATGTTCAGTACATGGATCATAAGTTATTTTGAGTGAATAATGAGTGACCCTTCTTCTTAAAATCCACATTATTATTGTGTGGCGACAAAAATTGATAATTAGATTTTTTATTTAGTTTATATGCTCTATGGCTATGCAGTCGGATATGAACAATTTATTTCGCGCAGCTACAAGAAAATGAATTTGTGATTTTATTTTTTATAAATCTTTTAGTAATATCATTATAAATATTAAGATATCACTAACAACGTTTTGCCGTCAGCCGAAATAGCTCAGTTGGGAGAGCGTTAGACTGAAGATCTAAAGGTCCCCGGTTCAATCCCGGGTTTCGGCATCCCGGAGGCTGACACATTCTTTTTTTTTTTTTTTGGAAGTAGGAGCAAAAAAAGTAAATATGATGTAAAAATGGTTTGTTCAAATGGAAAAATAAATGTTTTAATATTTATTTTTTTATCCAAATTTAATGAATTAAATTTTGTACTGTGGGATTTTTTAATATTTTTTAAAATTTAATTCATTATGCTTAAAAATAAATAAAACGTATATTTTTCCATTTGAACAAAACATTTTACTTCATTTTACTTTTTTCAGTATTTTTACAAATTTATATTACAGTTAAACTGTTACTATCTATTTTTTCATTTCTGAGTCCAATACTCATTGGGTAATCTGCTCTGGTTTCTTTCTGCTCCACTCAGACAAACGTATTGCGGGGTAATATGTATTGTAGATATTTACTAACTTAAGTTTTGTCTGGCATCCAAAGAGAACCAAATTCATTAGCCTGTGAAACAAAATTGTTAAACCTTTCAGGATATATGTCATGAAGGAATTTTGAAATTCCAACAACAATTTTCATAATATTTCGTTAGAAAAAACCTTTGTGTGCCAAAAGGGAAAAAATATCAAAAGTTAATATTATCAATTCAACAACACCACAAATAAGCAACATTTACTTTTAGAAAATAGGTAACATCAAAACAATAAAAAGATTTTGAATTCCAACTACAAAAATAAAATCTGACCAATCAGCAGAAAACAAGAAATATTTTTCAACCAACAAAAAATAAAGAAAAAAAGATTTGAAAAATAGTAATTTCTGGAACCTCTTAAAACTTATGAATAATGATTTCTGAACTTTATATATTAATCAGCATCTGAATCAGTGGCAGTATACTTGGCAATCCGTCATTTCCGTCATCTTTTGGAAGGACGGAATTTTGTGGTCTATACACATCATAAACCATTAATTTATGCTCTGCACGCCAAGTCGGACAAGGGATATCCGACAATTGGATTATATTTTCCAATATACGTCGGATATCCGCTATGTAAAAGGGGCTGACAATGTAGTAGCTTATACTGTTGCGGAATTTATGCTAAGTAAGATTTGTCAGAAGGTGAAATTGTGTGAAGGCCTAAAATGTGCGTGTATATTATGCATTTATCTACAACGAATAAATTAAACGAACATATGAAGACAATACAACTTGATGAAATCAAGGAAAAAACAACGTAGTTATAGATTTCAACAATAACATGATTTTATATATATATATTTGACATACACAAAGTGATGATAGGTTGCTTGTTAAACGTGGCAAGTGAGATAAGATTGCAAAGAGTGTCCATGCAGAGATTTGGTGAATGAATGTTGATGGTTTAAGTTTGTGAAATTAAAACAATTTGATTTCTGCAAGGTAAAATGTCAATTGTGTGAGTTCAAATAATAGTGTGTATGTGTGTGACAATTGTAAGTGTTGATTCAAGTTATGAAGAGTTGTGTGCCTTTGACTGATATGTTAAAATTGATTAAATGTACAATTACTATTTCGTAGTGATAATGTCACTTTTTTAGTAAATTGTAAGTTAAGTTTCTTCACGCGGCAATAGTAGTGCGAGTTGTGTTGAGTTGATGAGAGCCTGGTAGTGTTATTGAGTCTGTGTTGGCACTCGTGGAGTCTGTTGGCATCTCTCGAAACTTCTAATTGGTTGAAAAATATCAATTAGGTGTCGTCAACACGTCCGAATGTACCGACCCAAATTTTGACATTGAGTTGATGCCACAAAATATAAACATATTCCCGATCTCCCACGTGACCAAGAGAACTAATAAAAAACGAAACTTCGATGCGACTTAGTCAGTGGGCACTTAAAATATAGAACTCATTCACTTGACTTCATTGGAGATCGACTCAACAACAAAGGAGACGGACCAAATTCTTCAACACGATAACGAACCTTGTCAACCAATTCCAGGCTTAACGTTAATTACTAAAATTAACATAAATCCAGCTTGCAAAAAAAACAAAAAAAAAAAAAAAAAAAAAAAAAACGCTCACTCCCACAAAATATTCTATTCCACAACAAGCATCTCCGGTACAAGAGCGACGACTTTGTAAAAATTAGTGAGTCAAGAACAATACTTTTTTTCTGTTTAATACAAAAAAAAAAAACAACTGTTTAATTTTTCTACAACAACAAATATACTTAACTACACCTTCTCATTTTCCCACAAACCATTCAGCAACTTAAATTCTTTCAGTATCACACACCAAAGAACTCTAAAGTGTTTTAACAACTTAACCATCATATATTTTTGTATTTGTTGTCTTTATAAAAATTATTTATTTTGAACAATTTCTTCTACTTGATTATTTCTCTTGTTTTTGTCTTTGTGTGACATTTGATATAGTAAAAATAATAGAGGATAAATTTGATTTGTATTTATAACCAATACAAATTGGCTAACCCACTATACTCTAAATGACCGTTACTTACAATCTTTTATCCCATAGAAAACAGAATATTTTACACCTGACTGAAATTTAAAGATATCGCCATTAAGTTTATTAGCATTTTTCTAGTTCACATGTTTACAAAATTTTATGCATTTTAGTCCCACGAAATTTAATAGTGATATGTCCCGGAAATGGATATATTTGTTCGGAGTAGCAAAGTGGTTTTGGACTACTGTAACCGAGTAGGACAATCTAGCAGGTAACCGTAATGGACTGGTCCTCGTCGTAGTGGTAGGCCATAAGCGTAGGCAATGGGCGAAGACAATAAGCGTAGCCAATAGGCGTCGTCCTGTACCTCCACATCAGTCTGTATTTATGGCTGACACCAGCCAATCATATTATGTGAGGCGGAAACCCAGGTGTATGCATATTCATTACATCACCTTGTGGTGTGCTGCTCAGATTTGTTTTTAAAATTGTTAATGAGGTTGTTAGTGAGGCTGCGTTTTTAGTGAGAGCACATACATTTAAATTTGCAAAGAACACAAGGAAAGAAGAACAAGAGATCAAATTGCATTCAACAATAAAATATATATTGAAAATTAACGAATACAACAATTGTGCTTATGTATTAATATTTAGGGAGAGAAAAGTAGCTTCCCTTGTACTGATATCTGATGCAAGATAGGAATAATGTACTTAAGAACTTTGTTATTGAAATGTTCAGAGTTCAGTGAATAAGATTTGAATTCAAGAATGAAAAGTTTGTATAAAAAGGATAATAGAATTAGGTTTGTAACTTGGCTTGTGACAGACAGTTAACAGTGTAGTATAATGGTAGGTCTGTGTCTGTGTGTGCGTGAGTAGAAGAATGTAGATACGCGTGCGTTGCTGATTTATTGTTCTACTTTATTTGTGGAGTACGAACTGTTTAAATACTTTTGGGGTAGGCTCCAGAGAGAAGCGGGAAAAATATCGAAAGGAATATCTAAAATACACGATTGGATAAAAATTGACCAAGCACTGATTTTTTTACAAAACCAAGTTAGGCAAAGTCATGAAAGAAAATTTTGTGTGGTTACTGCGATAGGTAAATTGTCCTGTAGTAAACAGTACTTATTTTCTATCCAATTATAACTGAGTATTTTGTGGG